TATATTTGAGCACAGTATTATTATCTATTTATTTGATTCATACATTATTTGTGTTCTCAGTGCTAATATTATTTTAATATTATTTTCAATGATTTACCAGCTGCTCCTATAAGCTTTTATGTATTACGTGCTTAAAATAAAAAATTCGCTCCACTATGTGTGAACCCTAATTTATATGAAGGGAGAGAGATTATGGTCTGAGATCCATAATTATATCGTACCGGCCTCTGTGATCTGAAGCCAGGCACTTAATGCGTCGTACGACGGCCATACGACCGCCGGCCGACGAATCCAATTTCGCTCTATGTGAGCGTTAGAAGAAGCGACGCCGTCTGCTGATGTCGGTGGCAGTCTAAACGGATCGTCATTAAAAACGATCCGTTGCGCGCGCGTCTTGGCGTTGCGTTTACCATGGAATTGCAACGGCCGAAGACCGTCGGATGAAGTAAGTGCCCGGCTTAACGTTACCTCATGACGGTCGCCAAGATAGCGAGGGATTACGGGTTCGATTCCCCCAGACCTCTTGTTTTCATACAAATAATAAGGATTTCGTTGGTGAACTATGTTTACCATTTTTAACAACCTGTTCTAACATAATTGAGCACTGTTTATTATCTATTTGATTATACATTATATAGCAGAAGCTTGATTTGAATGTGTAGGCCTATATATATATTAGCAGCATCCTTGACGGAATGTTTGAAATTAAGAGTTTACAAATTAACAAATGATGTTGAGTAACGTTTATAACAGTGCTGTCATCTGTTATAATACCAGGCCATTATTACCTGTCTCTACAGACATACATTTGCCGACTCTTCTATCATTAAAAACCTGCTACTTAACCCAGAAGACTTTACCGCACATAAGAGGGTCTTGGCATGGCGGATATACATGATATATATTGTAAAAACTTTGTGGTGAGTAGGCCTACAGTATAATAATAATGTTAATGATAATAATAAAGCCAAAAAAACCCGCCCCTAACTCACTGAAAAAACAGGGGCTGAAAAACCAAAAAAAAAAACTTTACAAATTAAAAAAAAAAAAAAATGTGAGTGAATTTATCTTTATTTTTTGCCAGATGCCCCACAAATTAGTTTAAAGTTGTTGTCTGATGTAAGATATTGCCATTTTAGGCCTCTGTGGGTTATTTTTATTCCATCTGATGAGTAAAAAAAAATTAATTAATTAAAAAAAAACTTTTTCCACCCGCCCCTATTTATCATTTAAAAAAAAAGAAGGGCAAACAAACAATTTATTTTATTAGGCCTAATAATTATTATTATTATTATTATTATTATTATTATTATTATTATTATTATTATTATTATTATTATTAGTGGAGTGTATTAGTAGCAGTAGTAGTAGTACTAGGAGTATAAGTAGTAGTAGGCGTATCATTATTATAAAAATAGTTATATTAAATCACAAAACAAATTAAATAGGCCTAATCATAACATATCATAATAAATGATTTCATGAAATTTTGAATCGGGATTGATACGTGATGATTATGTGCACCTCTATTTATCAATTTATGTATTTGATTAATTAATTGAATAAATTGAACCTCCAACTGCCAAATTTTAGCTACTGCTACCTTTACTTATGTGCATAAACAATATTGAAGTGCGGCATGTATAAAGAACAAGTTCATCAGAGTCATGCATTTTGCTCAGGGCTTTACAATTTCAAACCTGGCGATGATTATTTGTTACGCCCATAGGGGTATTGCGAGAAATTAATTAAGAAAAAGTGATAGAATAATAACGAATAAAGCAAAACCCCATAATAATCAAATCTAGTAATAACTAATGGCTACGTGTATCCTTAAAAATTCACAACGAGAGCATAGAAAACATTTAATTTGCTCTATACATATAACTATACCAACTTTAGTATTGATACATTTACGTTACGGTGCGTTACACGCTCTTCTATCAATTTATTAATATAAATTGTAAAAGTATAGCGTTTCAGATTGACAATGGCATGTTTTTGTCAGCCGATATGGCTCTCAGCGGAATTTGATGTTATTCTCTAAATTTGCATTTTTTTTTTTTTTTTTTGTAGTCGTACGAGGAAATATTCTTCGCTCTAGGACGGACGCAGGAGGGGGAGGTGCAGACTGTTCAATCACTCCCCCCCCCCCCCAACTTGTATTTTATTCTTGATATATTTTTTTTATCATTATGAGCTTTAGTGATTTTATAAAGTATGAGTGTGTGAAATGCAATTTCCGGGCACATATAGGTCCATATTTTCTAAATTTTTGAACCTCACCTCCAACCATGGTGGGCCTGAGGTGATGTGGACTCACGCTCGGACCCTAACACCAAATCCTGCATCCGCCCTACTTCAATGATGGTGGAATCATGTAGCAGACAACGAGTTGTTTTTCCCGCACGGCTCAGTCCTCCGGCCAATGTTGTTTTTCCTCTACATTAGCCACAGGTCAACGGTGTAGGCCTACTAATAGGTGCCCGGCGAACAGCCGGGTCCAATGGGGAACAGGAGTGTCACCAGGGAAGGGAATACTCTCTTCTCACACCATATTTATTCACACTCTTTTTGGGAATTAGATAATCAAAAGCAGTCCGAGTTAAACAGTTTGTGGTCAGTCGTAAATTTCCCAACGGGTAACTTTGCTTGTGATATACGGTACTTAATAAATAACTGACTATTTGTTTATCATTACACAGATAATTTGTGAATTGAAAACGCACTTCCAGGTCGTTGTCCGCCTGACTCTATTTAACAAAGGGAAATTGTAATCGCCATAAAAAAGAGATTAAAGCCATGCTCCGGAGAAAATGTTACTATGTTGTAGAACTGATTTTTCTGAAACACGGAGAGCGGTTATGACAGATATTTGAATATTTAAATATTGGGGGAAAGGGTTGAAAAGGTGGTTACGTCCTCTTTACCCCAGTTTTTAAATATTCAAAAAATATAGCCCTATAAGCATATTCGTAAAATATGATTTTTTGCGAAGGTTTTGGGTGTTGACGGATTTTATTCCAATTGCGGCCCTCAAAGACCAATTTGGATTGCAGCGACGTTAATAAAAAATCACATCTAATTTTGAAGTGGACTGTACAGCAAACACCGAGATTACACACGGAAGACGTATTCCTAATAGGGATCACTGCTGGGAAGTACTACTGTGTAATCTTAAAAATAAGCTCCTCGAAAAGAAGCCCATGGGCTTCAAATCAAGATAGGACTACTATGAGCTTCTTTTCGAGATTGTAGGCTATACTTACATTACATTCTTTGATGATTTATGATGTGTCTGAGGCATATCAATATAAAATAATATAAAAATAACCCGAATTATAATTGAAACGGTACACTGGCTTTGATCAGGGAGTTGTTTTGATCAACTTCGTGCATGCATTCAATATGAAACCGTTTAATGGCTTCAGATTGAAGCTAACTCCGGTTTATCTTAAATTCGTTAGGAGATTCGAAATTGTTAATAATATGACAATATAAGTTACAAATTTAGGCCTACACATAAGTTTATTAAATTTCTAGGCCTACATTAGATGCTTATTATTTTGAATTTTATGGTAATAAAAGATACTTAGATACAAGATTTTAATTTTATTGAAAAAAAAAATATTACGAAATGAAGAACGCAGTAGGCCTACAGTAATAAATAATATATTAACAAGATTAGTAAGTAAAATTATAAACACTAGGCCTATACAATATCTAATGATGATATCCGAAAGCGTGCTTTTAAAAATATAATTGATATGTATGATGTAGTTGTCCAACGTGATTGTGGTTGGCAGTATATTTGATCATTCATAATAGGCCTAAATTAAAAAAATAAATAAATATAAAACGCGAATATAGGCTATTTCAATTTTTTTTAAATGGTTAGACAGAAATTCCATGGTTGAAAATGTCTTCAGGAGTACTCCAATCTTGTGCGGTTTAAGCAATATTAACGGCATTAATTCTGGAAAGAAGCCTCCTCGTTTGGAAAAGTAATCTTTGAAAATAAGCCCATCCTTAGTTTACTGATGATGCTCAGTAGTAGTAGAGGGCAGCATGGCCTGGTTCACTGCAGAGCCATATATATAAAGAGTTGCGACATTCCGCTCCTTGGTTTACGAAAGTCACGTGGTACACACCGTCCATTTTGTTTCATAATCTTCCCGATGAACACATGCAAAGTATATGTGTTACGTACATTGCATATTAATTTCACACACTTAATTGGGTTTACAATTATATTTTATAATTAACATCACTTAGTATGGACAGCGTATAAGAATTCATATGTAATCGAATATTTGCGCGCGTGCGTACTCGCGCAAATTCCGTGCTCGCGTAAATGATTGAAATTAAAATTAGAATTGTTTTCAATTATCGTTAATTCGTCACATTTTAATCAATGAAGACCCAACCTATTTTATTTAATGGTAATCTTTTCTTTGGTTTTAATTGTTTTTAATAGTTATATATTAAATATGTTTTAATAGTTATATATTAAATATGTTTTTAATAGTTATATATTAAATATATATATATATATATATATATTTATTTATTTCTTAATTACATAAATTTAAATCATTTATCAGTTGCATTATTACACTGTTTACGTTCATCATTAAAATTTTATTTTTATTTTCTCATTCGCCTAGATGCGTTCGGAAAAATATTTAAGCTAAATAAGAAAAAAAAAANNNNAGAAGAAATGATGATGTAAGAAACCTGTCTCTTATACACATCTAGACTAAATGTATTATACAATATTATACACAGGAACGCACATCATGTTAGACACAGAACGCGCATCGCGTATGAAACAAAATGGCTTCTAAATTCTCAATGTCGCAACTCTTTCTATCTATGGCTCTGGTTCACTGGTTCACTGGTAAAATCATAGAGGTATAATAAGAATATAATGTTTAATAGCTCTATGGGTAAAATACAATTTCTGAAACATGACGTAAAACTTGCGCATGCGTAAAGAGAATAACAGCATGAATCGTCGACTGGCCGCCGCGGCTGCATGCCTACCGCCGCCGCCGTACCACTGACTGACCTCCCATAAGCAAAGCTATAAGTTCGCTAGCAACGAGAGACGCTTTTCCTACTTGGACGTTGTTGCTGATGTTGATATTTTAGTGTCGCTTCAAATGTCGAGCTCAAATTCTGAGATTTACAAGTGGAAGAGATGGTCAAGAACACCTTCTTCTCTTTCTAAAGTATGTTCATTATATTTCTGTAGGCCTAGCCTAGAATATGCCTACTACTAGGCCTATCTAGCTAGGTCTACTCTTCTAGTCCAAGACTTGGACCAAGTCTAGCCTACCTTGGCCTGTCTAGCCTAGCCTCTAGGTAGCCTAGGCCTAGTTTTATGATGACCCTCTAGGCCTAGCTCGGCCTACATAGTTATAGGCCTGAACTAGCCACATTTGGTCAATCCGTACCCACGTCATTTTGGTCAACCCGTACCCAAAATATATTTGTATCTGTACGATCTTGTGCGGTCTGTTGTAAGATTGTCGTTGCCGCTATATTATTAAAGGTAAGTTTTCTCTCTGGGCATTTTTTTTATCTTTTCTCATAATTTTCAATTTTATTTTCATTAATTTTCTCTGGTTTTAATTTTTTCTTTCTCTTTTCTTTTGTCTTTGGGTCTATTCTTTATTTCTTTATTATATATTTAGTTATTTTATATATACATAGTATATATATAATAATAATATAAAATAATATAATTTAAAATTATAACTTCCTAACCGTACATAGGCCTAACAATAATAATCTAAAATTTTAACTTCTTAATTATACATAGGCCTAACAATAATAATCTAAAATTATAACTTCTTAACTATATGTAGCGTGGGATATAATAAATTAATTAAACTTTTGTATTTGATTTTTTATTCTCAATCCTCAACCAACAGAGAGAGAAACATCCACTAACAGGTTGGAGAAAAAATATACAAAGTAACACAATGGTACAAGTACATTAAACTGTCTTCATAATTATTCAGCGAGGATGAACTTCATAAAAAAAATATAAATTTCAACAGAACAAAATGTAATATTTTTAAATATACCTCATTGTTATGTCAACTCGGCCAAAGTGGAAACATGTATTTAAAGTTTTTAGTGCGGTACAAGATTACAATCAAATATATACAGTATTATGATATATAATTTGAACTTGGGGCCGAGTTGACTGCTTTGGGCCGAGTTGACATTGAGCTGAGTTGACATTGAGCTGAGTTGACTTGGTGCTGATTTGACTTGGTGCCGTGTTGACTTGCGGCCGAGTTGACTTAGGGCCTAGTTGACTTGGGGCCAAGTTGACTTGGGGACAAGTTGTCCTGCTTCCCTAGGGCTATATGGCTAGGCCCTATGTGAGCTGAAGAAGTCAATTATCGGGCCGAGTGGACTTGGGGCTGAGTTGACTTGGGGCCGTGTTGACTTGGGCCGAGTTGACTTGTGGCCGAGTTGACTGGGACCAGTTGACTTGGGGACAAGTTGTCTTGCTTCCCTAGGGCTATATGGCTAGGCCCTATGTGAGCTGAAGAAGTCAATTATCGGACTGAGTTGACTTGGGATGGGGNNNGGGATGGGGGGGGGGGGCTGAGTTGACTTGGGGCCAAGTTGACTGGGGACAAATTGTCCTGCTTCCATAGGGCTATATGGCTAGGCCCTACGTGAGTTGAAGAAGTCAATTATCGTCTACGTTTTGGCAGATATGCTACTGTATGGGATGGATTGACTACGAGAATAGTGACATACCACATTAGTTTCCATTTTCTTAAGCTTGCGAAACCTCCCTATAAAAGGATGTTTATTCCTTTCCTTCTCAGCTGATTTTGTAATTTGCATGCCTGTATAGGCCTATCATAGGCCCCTTGGCATATGAGCCTATGTATGATTTAGGTGCTCAACTTTATTATTAGGAACTTGCTTGATTTTAAGCCTTTTTTCTGTTGTAGGTCCCAACTCCAGAAAATGATATTCAACACTGGATAAAGGTAGGATGCAGATTTTGTTCTGTGTCTCATGTCTGGGCATAATTCTGTCTCTACTGCACAACATCAGCAATTCAAAATCAGTGTGCTCTGGTCCAATGCAGAAAATAACAACTAACATACTTCTGTGACCCTTGATGTTCATGTGTATAAAACAACATAATACACAATCAGACTTGGTTCATATGGAGGTGTAATAACTTAATGGTTTATACCACCAACCAGTCTCATTTTATTCATTAAAACACTACATTAAAAGTGGCAATAAAGTTATAATTCCATGCCTTTTAAATGGATTGTCACTTTTAAAGTAGTATTACATCACATAAAATGTCTACACTTTCAACCAATAACAGCATTCATTGCAACAAAATATTAAAGGTTATAATAAAATTGAAGATACAGGTATTTGCAATACAGTTATTTCAATGTGATTGTCATGAGCTTTTAATGTTTCAATATCTACTTGGACACCTGCCATTTCACACGTGTGCTTTTTGCACCCAAGTGGCTCCTGGAAATAGACTATGCTGCTTCATTTATTTTGGACCATCACTACACTAAAATACAGATCTTGATTTTTATCCATTTACTGAGATTTAAAAAATGTTGTTGCTTAATTTTCTTTGTAGAAAGTTGAAGCAGCTTCCGATCAAGCTACTGCTATCACATTTGGGAGAAGTCCGTCTCAAAAGTATCCAATCAGAGATGGTTATAATGATGCCATGGAAACTATAGCTGCTTTACAGGATAATAATGAGGCACAGAATGAAGGTAATAAATGATAGTCACCTGATTTCATCATGACCATATTTCAGATTTTTTTGTCAAATAAAATTTGATAGTCTGGACAGGGCTCTAAAATCTGTACTATTGAAGCAATAATGGCCTCTAACTATAATGAAGTCTACAACTTGTTTCTCTGTTTTCAAATTTCAGCACAAGATCTCTTAAATCAGTGGATGGTGGAACAGTTGAAGATAGACGACTCAGATTTAAGATTTGATGATGAAGATGATGATTTGTTAATGAGAAGAAATGATGATGTAAGAAACGCTGAGAAAAGTGACTTAGAGACAATACTGGATATTGATTTCGGAGAATCTAACTTTCTGGATCCATATAACGGGATAAAGTCTGAAGGTATAGTAATTTAAGCTTTGGTTGTTATTGTGTAGAAATTACATACTGTTTACAGTGCAGTTGTACCATTCATTTTACAACACAATGCAGGCTCTATACAAAATAATAAACTAATGGTCAACATATAGAGTGCATATTGTAGACACCTCTATGCACCTATCATTATTATCCCTGGTCATTGGATCAAGCACATACTCAGGTCCCTGGGGAGAATTCCATAATGTTGCAGCTGTAATCAGTGCATGTTTGTGATTGAACCTACCAGGTACCCACTTGTACTCCTGGGTTGGGAGAGACAACCGTAGTTATGTGCCTTACAGAAGGACACAAGCGAAATGCACAGTGATTGAACCTCTGACATTAATGTTATTAAGTTACTTAAATGGTAATTGTAGTATATTTGTAGAGCGCAATCCACAATAAGATCGTCTCAAGCCGCTTACAGTATTCAGACCATGAATCAGAATGTAGAAAAAGAAAAAAATAAATAAATAAACAGCTGTTCTGGTAATGAAATGAGACGACGGTTAAAAAAAAGCATATCAAATCAACCGCGGGCATGAAAAGCGCTCTCCCGACGTGGAAATGCCATTGTCACCAAAAGAATGTACGTGCAGGTACCCCGCCGTCAGTATCCTGGGCTTCCATAGCTTCCACCTAGGATAAGTCTTGGTTCGATTGCCGTGCACTGCTAAGGTCGCAATGCCAGCTCAAGTAAGGAAGCCTTAATTAAGACAAGTTATGTATTATCTGACTTTGATTACATTATTTAAATAGTGTCTTTTACTTTTTGATCAGATGTCTATAATGAAATTGACAGCAGAAATGACAGTGAAACTGTTCAAGGGATTCTAGAGGGTATGCTGAATCAAGAATTTGTTGACAATTCTTTTAAGCAGAACCTTGGACTGCAAAAGAAACACAAAGATCCAAAGATGACGATGGAAGCACGACAAAATCAGGTAACAAAATAGTATTTATAAGATGTAGCCAGTGTTGGCTCCAGAAATTGGCTGACAGGGGGTTTGACATGTTTGGCAAAGCCTTGGTCAAGTTTCCGGAATGAAAATACCTGGTACTGTAGGGTTCACATGGAGAGTTGTTATGGCTTAGTAATGGCCCAAAATTGTGCTTCTAGACGACAGTATTAGGGATTTAAATAATAGGCAACCATAATAATAGGCTAATTATAAGGCATTGGATGACATGGTCCAGGTCTGTCCGATGGTCAGGACACGTTAGAGCCCCTGTATGTAGGGCATGGGCAGAAAAGGAACCAAGAATTACATAATGATGTAGCTAGACTGTTAAGGTAAAGGCCAACTTGAGCAGCACACTCATTTTCCCCAAAACAATGTTTTCCAATCTAATTGTGAAATTTGAGTTTTTTACAATATATCTTTATTGTTCTGAATCTCCTAACTGTAAAAGGTCAAAGCCAATCGCCTGAAAAGACAACAAGAGAGAGAAGAAAAGCTCAGGACATTGAAAGCAAAGAAAGATGCACAATTCCAAGCAAAACAGATGGTACTAAAAGAAGAAAAAGAAAAGGTGATAAAATCAAAGAAAGAAGAGAAGCTCATACAACAGGAAATGACTCGAATTAGAAAACAAATGTTGGAACAAAGACGTCTAGAAGAGGAGTCTAAACTAGAACAAAAACGATTGGAAGAAGAGGCTAAAATGAAAGAAAGGCAGAGAGAAGATAGACAAGAAGCAGTAAGAGAAGAAGCTATACAACAACTGAAAAAAGAAGAGGAGGAAAACAGAAGGAGAATGGAAGAAGAAAAGAGAGAACTTTTAAGAAATGTTCACAATCTGAAAGTAGAAAAGAGGAAAGAAGAACTAAAGGTGAATTTTGATTCCTATATACAATTCATTTCTACAATCCATTATTTTCTTAATTTATATTCTCGCATATACAATAGTTAATGCAGTAGAGTTTGTTTGATCTTTAATTACTACAAACACATTTTTAGAAATGTAACTTCCAAAAAAAAAAAAAGCATTCAACATATGAACATCTCCAAATTTTAAATTGCAGCCATCGAAAAACATAATTCTCTCAAATTAAAAACAGGTATTAACCTCTTTATAGATACTTAAACAACATTTCTCAGCCTGGTACAAATTGACACTGAATAATCGGTTGAAGATAGGCAAGGCACGTGCGGTGGCAGACTGGAGGTGCATGTTGCGCGCATGGAATGCTTGGAGGGCATATGTTCATGCAGCCCGTGCAGAGCGAGAGATGAAAGAAACTGAGCATCACATCAAAGAAAATCACAGGTCAGCCATTTATGTAATGGGAATTTTTAGTTTATTTTTTCATTTAACAGTAAGTACCCGGTTGCCACTTATTTGATGGGATAAGCTAATGATCTGCAGTGGCCTATCTAGGATTTTTGAAATGGGGCTGAAGAGCAATGGTAAAGTGGTTGCGGGGGCGGGGGGCCCTCAATGATTAGTGAGAGGGTGCCAGGTCGCAATATAAGGTGATTTTTTTTAACTGCCTGAGCTTGATTTTTCGTTTCGGACATATCCAAAGGTGTGGCGTGAGCTTTCTTTGGCGTGTGCACACCTAGATTTGCCACTGGGCTAATTGGATGGAGTTTTATTCATTATTAATAAAATAGTCCTGGTTTTAAATGATTTGATCTCAGAAACCTGGTATTGGGTGACTTCATATAACTTTATGTTTACACATAAGAGACTGAAAGTATGTTAGAGAAAAGAACATGGACAGGTATTTGAGATATAATTGAACAGGTTCCTAACCAGAAAAATTGGTGTATGCACTATTGCCAATCCTGAAAATCATTTGACATAATAATGAGTTTCAAAAGCAATGCTTGTATGGATCCTATGAATGATTTACCGTATTGGCATACTGTTTTAATTATAATCACTAGATTCTTTTTATTCTGCGTTCTTACAGAAAGAGAATCTCAGCAGAAAAGCACCGTCGGTGTCACCTTCTAAGGAAGCACTTTGTAGCATGGCACAGCTGGACTCAAGCAGAACTGCAATCAAGAGAATTATTTAAGGACAAAAACATGACACGTAATAAGATGGCCTTGTTTTTAGAAGCTGCTGCCTCTGGCAAGCTATGGAGCAATAGAGAACAAGAGCATGGTATTCAAGAGGACACTAGACATAAGGGAGTCTTTGGTAGCACTGACTCAAACAATAAACACATTGTAAGATATTCCATCAATTTAAAAACATATATTTAGATTATAACTTGCTTATTTTAGAAATAGAGATACTATATTTCATTAAACTCACTTGAAAACGCTACACTACCCAAACAAACAAACATGTGTAAATATGAAAATTAGAATAATGCATTTCCCCCTCTCTCTTTTTTTTTTTTATAATAATTATCTTAAAAATTTAAAAAAAATGTGGAATGAACATATTGTGCCATAAAAGTAGAAATTTACATCATGGCAACAATAATAATTGTACAACAATAATATTTCTAAAGTAACTTTTAATTAATAACTATTTCATGTATTATTTATTTATTTGCTTATTAATATTTTTCTTTCATTTTTATCTTGGAGAGTTATTGCAATTGTGTTTCATTTGCCTATTTTGCTTACTCCCTTTTCATTTTCAGTGATGTATACATTGATTTGTTTAATTTCTATAATTATTTCGACTGTATGTTATAATACCTAAGTTATTTTCCTTTAACTGTATGTTGAGTTGATTATGAACTAAATGATTAAAGTGAAATGAAATGAAATATGAATAAATTTATTTAATTTGTATACAATTGTACAACAATTTATGTTTACTGATTTCTAAATATCAATTTTACAGGAAGATATATTTGCTAATGCAGGAAAGAAAAATATGACATCAGTTGCTTCAACAGCCAGATCGGAGATTAGTGAAATAAGGTCAAATGCTTCTGGAGATACCCGTAAGAAAAGAACTGTAGAGAAACCAAGACATGCTTGGCAAGTGACCAGAAAACATACCAAACTTACTAAAAATGAAATTGCTAGTTTACAGGAAGATGAGGGTCTATCAAATTGCAATAATTCAAGTGGGAAAAAGGATATGAGTTTACCAAGATCAAAACAAAATATCAGTTACACTGTTAACAACTTTGAACATCGTTACGCTGCTCAGCAGAAAATCCTCTTGGAACAGCAGAACCAGTTAAAGGAACAACACAGAATGATAGAGGAACTGCAGGCCAAGCATAGACAGAATGCACTACAACAAGAATTACTGGATGTTCAAGTAGTATGCGAGAGAAAATTGGAGCCAAATACAAGTCATGAGCCACCACTTGATTTGCAGATTCCAATCACTGAAAGGTAGTCATCAAACCACATCAATTATTATAAATTTCAGGGTGGATTCATAACTTTATTATTTAATCATCATGTGATGTGATGCTGTGATCAGGGTAGTGCTTCGTGCACCACAGGCCTCTTAGGGCTTCCTCAGTTGCTTAGGGCCCCAGGTGTGTCCAAAGCAGAACCCAAGTGGAAGGCAACATGGTGAGGGGTATTTTTGGATACAGTATTACACTATTTAAGGCAATGTAATATAAAAATTTCAAAAGTTGTACATATGTAATGTTTAATATTCTAATGCCAAAGGTCACAGACAGCATCGACTGCAAGATCTGAGAGCACAGCAACCATTGCAACATCTGCAAGTAGCTCCAGTAGATCAAATGCACCACTACTCAAGGGGATGGAGGAAAGGGCAATGCAAAGAGCAAAACGAAAAGCAGAAATTGACGATCGACGAAGGAAAAGAGAAGAAGAACAATCAGTAAGTTTGGCTTTCATCATAATTATATTGTACTTGGCATATTTAGCAATCGTAGGTGATTTTAATGTTCATTGTATATATTGTTCTTAGGCCAAGCGAAGGGAAGAGGAAGACAGAAGGAAAGCTGAAGAAGAAGCAGAGAAACGGGCACGGATTGAAAAAAGAAGAGAAGAAAAGAGGCTAGCACAACAGGTAATGTTGAATTGATAAATCTACGCCCATACTGCAATGGCTAGCAGAACAGTTAATGTTGCTCGACCATTTGTTGCTCGACCATTATTATACGTTTTCTCGTTTCATTTTAGAAAGAACTTGAGAAACAGGCAAGGTTGAACCAAATTGCTGAGAATAATACACTTGCATCAGAACATTATCGGTTAACTCTCATACGAAATAAAGGATTTAAGCCATGGACCAGGCTTATGCAAATGAGTAATAAGAATCATGAGATAGCAGTGAATCACCATAGCGACCAGATACTAAGGAATTGTTTGATGTCATGGCATCATCATACACAGACTGTCTTGCAAGATAAGAGAGCGTGTGCCGACGAACTGTATGGTATTATTCTTGAGAAACGATACTTCAATTCTTGGAAAAGGGTAAATGATTTATTATTGCTATTGATAATTAATGATTAATGTCTTCACCCTCTCACCGGCCCTTTATAGGTTCTTGAGAGCCACAGGGAACATGTCACTTTCCTTCCCATCCCAGTTTTGACCATAGTTTTTGTACTTATTCACCCAGGTCCCGCATCTGGGCCTTTTTTCAAGCCCCCCCCCCCCCAATCCAGGTTACCTCAACAAAGTGATTTCAATTCAGGGATGATTATATCCAAAAATAAAAAAAACATTTGATGTATTAGCATTACTTAAATAATTTTCTGTAAAATTATCTTCCCCTACTGAAATCATAGTTTTTTTTTATGATAGATAAATCTTGATTAAAATTATGTATCAGCGTTAGAACTTGACTTGCCAATTTTACTCAAGATTTTCAAAGCTTTGTGATGAATTGTTTCAACGATTCACTCAGAGTGCCAACAAAAATCAACAAGTGTACTCTGTTCTTTTGCATAGACTCTTAAATTGGCTGGTAAATTAAGGATTTTATAATAACATGTGTGCAGAGGAGAGATATATCTGTCGGTTGCAAAACAGCACAGCGTGTGCTTTGGTTAATATGCCAACTTGTTCAGTTGATTCAATCAGAAGATGAATTTGTTTTTTAGTATGGCCATTACCAATCCATACAACTGCAGAAGGCTAGACGACACTACAGACAGACACTAGTGATGAAGTTTTTCAATGCATGGTCTGATCACACGTTGCAAGAGAAGTTAGCGATGATAGATAAGGAGACACTTGCCAGACAACACGATCACATGTTAGTATCACGATTTCTTACAGTATTTAAAATTTATAGTGTTTTCTTTTAATGTTTATTAGTTTCAAACGCAAATACTAAAAAACTGTACTTTCAAAAATACAAATACTGTTAAATTGTTAATACGAATTTTGTGATTTTTATTTATTATTGGTTTTTGTTGATTGCTATAAACAGCAATAGTGCTAGCTAGCACTTACTGGTTTGTATATTTTTTTTTATATTTTGGTTATTTTAAAACAAAAATTTACATTTCATTTTGCTTCATCTATACAGTCGTGGTTTAAAGACAGTATTCAATGCTTGGAAGCGTTTTCCTAAACTTTTGAAGACGGAACGTGAACGGGAAAAACGAGTCCTTGAGATGAGGAAGAAGGTTGCTTCATTACTGCCAGATTTTGGTTCCTAGCAGGAAAAGTAAATCACCACTAATTATACCTAAGCCTTGAAATTACCAAATAAGCAAGAAATGAAATATGTATAATTTTTTTATCAGTATACTTGTATTGGAGAGGACTTTTTGCAATACATTAGTGTAGCAGTGGTTGTTCCAGAAATTGTTCACAGGGGTTGAAACCAAGGGCCTTTAGTTTTCGGAGTATTGTCACTGGGGGTCAAGGAGGAATTTTATGTTTTAGGATGGTAAAAATTGTGCTCTTAAACCACAAATCTAAAACTGCAGTCACAATATTTCAGCTGCAGAAGTAGCTGCAAGAGATGGCAGAAACTGGACACACTTCCTACGTCAGGCAGATAGTACAGATAATGCATGATACTAACTGGTATGTAGAGGCGATAGACTGTATGGTCTGTGCTTGAACGATATGGGATTGTACATAAACATGCTTCATGGATAGACATGTAGGCCCTTATAAATGGCAGAGTAATGCAATACTGGTAGTGGTAAATAGTAAAAGTTGCTCTAAGCTTATGGTAGATCTTAATTATTAAAATAGAAAGTATCGTATGTGATCAAATGTGAAGTAATGCAAAGAAAATATAGATTTTTGAACCAGCAGCTTTCACAGTACACTTCAGATCCTCTGCTGAGTTAACCTGTTTTAGAATGGTTGCTCCCAGTGCAGTATAGATGGATTTCTTTGGTGTAAACACCAAGGATAACCCACGCAAGTCTGAAGAAGTCTTATTTGCAGTGATGTCCTGGTGGTGATTGGGCAATACACAAGGAGACAATCACCTACTCTTTTCTGAAGAGTGTACTGCTTTCTTTAACATGCACATGGGCCATCCAAAAGACGGTTGTTCTTGGGTTGTTTAGGCATGCAGACAAAACCACATATTTCAGTCACTCCTAAAGTGTTGTGGCATCTGCTCAACTTGTTTGTTAGCAGTTTATTGAGATTTTCTAAACAATAAGCAAAATATCACAACTGAAAATTCATAATCTCATTCATTTATTTTTCAAAATGGAAGGCAAATATTTACTTCATTGGCAAGCTACTAACATTTTTATAAGATGAATACAGATTACAGTAATCAGTTTTAAATTCACAGAAAGCCGAACACTTGTTGCATCGTGCAATGGTCGTACGACGACTCCAACACGACTCCTTGTGGGCGCTAGATGTCAGCTGCGTTGCGTGTGCACGTTCTGCATAGAATCGTGTCGGCTGATGACATCGGGCGCAGTGAGTCTCTGGCATCTGTCAAAATGACTTCGATCGAAACGATACACTTAATCCAAATAGATAAGGAAAAATTATTGGTGTGCTGTGATATCAATTCCCATAAGGACTTAATTTATCTTGTGCAATATTGTTTATCATGAGAAACCTTTTATGGTTAAAATTTAAATAAAATAAAAAATAACTATTAGTATTGTTATCAATAATTATAGTAATTTTATTATGTTGTACTAAATTTTTCATTCACTGTCTTTCGATATTGCTGAGCATCTGTAGAGTGTATAATAGTCTCTTTGCAATTTGCATGTGTCTTTGAAGAGAAGAAAAGAGAGGAAAAAAAGATAGGTAAAAACCAATTGAATACTGTAATAATATGTTGAAAAATAGGAGAGATAGGCAATACAGAATTTGGTAGGGGGAATGGAGATACCAAGAAAGAATGCTAGATGATTCCTACAAGCCTGTTTTCAATGTTTTAACATTCAAGTTAGGTAAGTCTGAATCTCTTTCCACACTATCAATTTTCATTTTAAAAAAATGTGACATGGTCATAATGACACCACATCATGACTGTATGGGCATACAACAGTTTTTTGTCAAGGAAAATTTGATAGTCTGGATAGAGCATGAAGATGTAGAACTGAAAAGTTTAGGAAAATTGAAATAGCAAGGAATGGGGGAATGAATGTATCCAGGAAGAATGCCAGAGAATTGGAGCTATGACTTAACAGTTTAGTATGGTATTTCCATATTTCACGATAGAGACAAATATTTACATTAGTCCAAAAACACAACTTATCTACATTTGGAAAAAGTACTGTACCAACAGTTCACAATCATTTAAACTTTGCATAATCCATTCTTTACACTACTGAATGTGTACGTCCAGCACACACACTCAACAAATATTTTAATAGCAACATATTTACAACATTAATTAAAAACATCAAATATAATTTTTGACCATCAATGTTTTTTCAATTAGTGCCAAAAAAGTACCATTGTCATTCATTGTGTGTATTTTTCACCATTTTAAACAAAGATAATCCATCTAGCATGGCTGGTTGAAGCTTTGGTAACCAAGTCTCTTTATGAGTGGGCAAAAATATAATTCTCTTGCCAAAGAATGGTGACGTGGAAATCAGAATCGGTCAGTCAGGGTTTTTTTTTTCCAGGTAAATATTTTTTTCTTAAATAGCACAGCAGTAAATAGCATATACAGTAATTACAAGATAAAAAAGAGGAGGCGAAGAAAACGTTGGAAGGACCAACTTCATGAGGCGGTCAGTAAGACTATACATAATGAGCATTGTTCAGGACAGACGGAAGAGTTTCAGGATGAGGCCATTGTCCAGCAGTAGCCTGAATGAATTGCAACGTTTACTGTATCCAGTCTTTTATTTTCGTATGTAGCACACACTTTATTCAAAAATAGAATACAAGGCCCACATGGCCCAACATGTAACACATGCCTGGCAACCACAAGTACCACATCAAGTATACCATCACCAAACCTTTCATTATTTTTAATTGTTTGTTAGTTTATTTGTTTATTAGTGTAGTTTGTTTATTATCCAGTCTATTAGAGGTACAGTACATATTTACTAGGGCCATATTTCAAAAATATCTGATAGTATATAATTTCATTACTATAGAATTATATATTTTGTCTGTATTCAAGTTAAATCATGATAACACTATTTATACAATTATAGTAAACACTATCATGCTGAATTCAAACATGCGAGTAGATCAAAACAAATGGATGACTTTTTTCATTTTCTCATTTAGGTGTCATTGAATTGAAATATTATGCAGTAGGTGATCAATATATTTTTACATTAATGGATACCGAAGTCATACTGTAAGTAAAATATACAATTAAAGTTGAAATTAATACTCTTCACATACATTTAAACAATGAGCCTAAAATACTTCAATGTTTTTAAAAGGCCAACATTCTAGCTTTAAATAACAGAGAGCTTTCGGTTTGCTACGATATAGAATGATAGAATGTAATTTTAATTTAACTGTGCATGTCTGAACGTTATTATAAATTGGTGCATCAGCGTTTGTGACATCTTTACGTATGCGTCATAAAACATCAAAATTGATACAAAGTCAAATGTAGAGCCTGCGCGACTACAGTCAGGGATGAGTGAATACGTTCTAAGTTCTCGTACTATGTTCTCAATCGAAAGCTCCCTAATAAATTTGACACCTTAACCATGAACTTTAGCCCTGTGATTACCATTTTACAAACCAAATTGTGTAGGTGACACTGACCGACTGACCCTGACTTCCAGAGGTCACCATACTTGGGCAACACATCATTTTTTTTGCCTTATGATGAATCTTCATTACTTGCATCAGAGTTACATTCACTTGTATTGTTGCAGTTATTTTCATGGATTTCTGGTTCTTCGAAATGGACTGTCCTTCTTTGTGAATATGAGCATCCTGGTTCAGACGTCTCCTTCTCGTGCAACTCCACCATGATGTTATCTATCCCAACAACTTCCACCTTCTTTTTTGAATGTTTCTTCTCCTTCTGTAAGGAACTCTTCTTTAACTTCTTGTTCTCCTTCAGGTTGGCGTGGGTCTTGGATTGATTAGGTTGTACATCTCGAAGCTCCACTGTTTCCGTGGTTATGGTGTTAGGATCGAACGCTGGGTTTGCATGCTGGTGGGCTTCCTGTAGACTGTGCTGATGCTTTACTAGAATGTGAGTATCTTCACGCAATGCTGCAATACCTTAATAAGACAAAACCCTTATTAGAATTTTGCATACTATGAATTCAACCAATAACGGTAGTCACAAATTGTGACATCATTGCTTATCCCAAACCATTCACTAATTATAAATTAGTGAACAGTTGAACTAATTATTAATTAGTGAACAGTTGGTTTGATCTTTAAATGCTCTCACCGCAATTCAAATCAGTCTTGTAGAAATAGAGATATTTTCTTATTTAACATAGTGCACCAAAAAGTATAAAGTACCGGTATTTTTCATATTTTCAAATTGTTTTCTTATTTTATTCATGCATGTAACATACATTCACTATCACTTTATATTTAAGCGACTTTAGAATGTTTTGAAAAGAACCTATTATTAATTGTCTCACCTGGCATGAAACTTGACTTTCCCTTTCTCTGGTAAAAGTAGAAGAATCCAATGACGACAAGACAAAAAAATACACATAAAATGGTTCCAAGAACGATGAAGCCCTTCGCACTATTCTTATTATGATTACTGGCATCTAAAAGAAAATTAAAACAAAATAACATATGGCCAAATATAGTCAGGCATACAACAAGTCTATTAAATACTGTAATGTGAATTTAAATTTAATTATTTATTTGTTAAGACTGCTTGGGCATTTCATTCTCATCCATATTACCTATTTCTAGCTTCCTGCATAATAGATTCCGTAATAATTTATATCATTTGCACACATAGAATGCATTGCATAGAAATTCTTTTGTCAGCCATGAAATATATCCTTATATAGTTTGCCCTCCAATTTAAGACTACTTGAAATTTGGGGAGCTTTCTGGTTTTGGTCTCTACTAGGATGGACAGCTTTGTGTTAAATACATTGAAAAGTTATCTAAATTTAGAAGGATCTCAGAATTAGAGAAGTGTCCAATTGGAGGGTGCACTCAAAACAATTTAATGCCATACTGCTGCATAAACAATCCACCAAAAAAAAAAACAAAAAAAAAACCACAGGGATGAATCCATGGTCCTGTGCCTTGGAAGGCTATCATATAACCACCAGAATCTATACTACCATACAATAATGTTGTAAATGATGAAATTAATGATATTAATGTAGATGAAAGTTGGCAGCATCAATCTCCTACCTTGTTGTTCCCGCAATGTGATGAAGCTGTGCGTACTAATGACACCGTTACCAAGTTTGTTACTTGCCCAGATGTTCAGTTCATATTTAGAGATTGGTTCCAAATGATTAATCTTATACGTGTGCTGAAAGGTAAATATTTAATTCTTTTTAACGCTCTATGTACATTATTATTAATGACAAAATGCATCTAAATTGAATCTAAAGTCATAGATAAATATGTTGCTGTGGAGAACGCAAAACCTCAAGGGACACGCAACAGATTGTTTTTAATAATGATCCGTTCAGACTACTCTATGTACATAATTATTCAAGACAAACTGCATCTAAACTGAATCTAAAGTCAGGCATCTACTGCACCGGCAATGGTCATCAGCCGACGCGAATCTATGGAGAATGCAAAACCTCAAGGGACATGCAACAGATTGTTTTTAATAATGATCCGTTCAGACTACTCTATGTACATAATTATTAAAGACAAACTGCATCTAAACTGAATCTAAAGTTGGGCACACGCTGTACCAGCAATGGTCATCAGCCGACGAGAATCTATGGAGAACGCAACACCTCAAGGGACACGCAACAGATTGTTTTTAATAATGATCCGTTCAGACTACACTCGGCAATCAGCAGACACCGCCGCATTGTCTAGCACTAAGAGGAGCTGAGTTGGATTTGTTGTACGACGCAGTGAGGTATAGTGGGATGACCTATTTCACCGTGAGCCATCCCAAAATATCATTCTGGAAGTTGCTTTATAGAATTATGTGATGTATTCTTATACAAAATTATAAAATTATAAAGCATGTTTTTTTTTTATATTTAATTACAGTATCTGTAATTAATATTTAATTATACTATCTGTAATTAATTAGCTTTAGAATGGTTTATCAATTGAATTAGTTTCCTCATCCGTATTGTATAAATGAATTTTATTATCACAACTGAGAAAAAAAGCTTTAAACTCCAGTATACATGCACAGTTAAATACATGACTGCACACACACACACACAGTGAAGAGTTGCTTAGCAACCAGTCCAAACATAATGCAAATATTATAAATTCAATTTGAGCTTTATCAGACTTCTCAAGTTAGTAAAATGCATTTCCATATAACTATGTCTTTAAATTTCCATAGTAAATGAACAATTTCTGTAGCACCTAATAATTTGACTTGAGTGCAAGATATAGGTTGCTCAAAATTACAGGTACAGTATAATACCAGCTGTGGAATTTCAAATAAACTGGACAGGATGAAGATTTATGGGTAACTTTTCTTGGGTTTTACAATATCATCAGTAATCTGACAAGTCCGTGTGGTCAATCATTGTCCTGGACGTTAGACAATGTGTAGACCTATATATTTCTGGGTCTAGACTAATGGCACTTTTCTGTAGTGTCTGTCTATTTCCGTAGTACATCCATAATTAGGCAAAATTTCCGTAGCAAATATAGATATTCCATAGAACTTAAGTCTGCTTTATTCATAATAGTGCACATTTAATGTGCAATATTGCACCAACAACTTAATTTGGAGGTATACTATACCTGTGTAGCTTTTGAGACATCCCTCATTATTCTCCAGCCTCCTTCATCCACTTTGCGATACTCAAGACTCACACTGCCAATTGGGTAGCCACCGTTATCCTGCACTTGCCAAAAAATCTTAGCCGACATATGTCCGGGGATAATCGTCACATTTAATATCCCTGGTGTTGCTATTCAGACAAAATAAAAAAACTTGTATGTTTTTATCAACATTGAATCATTATTGTTATTGAATCATTTTTATTATCATTGAATTACATTATCATTGAATCATTATTATCATTGAATCCTAATTATCATCATCATTATCACTGAATCAATATTATCATTGAATCGTTTTTATTATCATTCAATCACATTATCATTGAATCATTACCATCATCATTGAATCCTTATTATCATCATTATTAACATTGAATCAATATTATCATCATTGAATCATTATGAAGGCAAACAAATTTGAAGTTGAGTAATGTACCACAGATCCCAGTTGGTCAGACTTACTTCGCACATGAACACGACATTCTCTGGTACCCTGACTCTGCATATTAGATGCAAAGCATGAATACGTTGCACTGTCGGAGGCATGCAGATGCGTCAGAGTTAGTTTACCGCCCTCAATCTGAAACAATCAGAGAAAACCATGGATATGTTGCACTTTTTTAGATATGTAGATGTACTGAAGTTAGTTTAATACCCTCCTAAACAAATCACTACTACACAAAGACACAGATAGCCACAATGACAGTTATTTTGTGCAGAGGTATCAAGGTCTCCATAATATTTCATGTGACTTCTGTATACAGTATTTACCTTATGTCTTGGACTGCCAGTCATATCAGTCCCATCTCTGAACCACTTGATTTCCGGTGGTGGATTACCTTTGACCTGACACTCTAAGGTCACTGTCCCATGATTGTCTTCTTCAAGTACACTTGGAGGTTCTTTGATAAACACTATTGGCTCTAGGGTAAAATTAAGGACGTTGTGAAATAATTTTTAGATAAAAGCTTGTCAACACAATTGCTTTACTAAACAAACCAATCTCATTCACTTAACATGCAACAGCCAATTTCCCAACTAGTTCCTCATTGTCCCCATCATTGCCACCATTCAGTGTTCTCCATAGGGCAATAAGCTGTAACGGCCCCGTTAAAGCTTCATTCAGAAAACAAGTTTACCGTACAGCTTCATTCAGACAAGATACCATCACCATTTATTTTTTTAAAAAAATTAATAAATAAATGATTTTTTTTTTTTGAGTACCATAGAATACATGTGTAATCAACTAATGATTATTTTTTTTATTGTGCCTAATAATTAATTTTATGGCTTTAAAGCAGGATTAATACAACTGTGGCACTGTGGAATATTATGTGCCCAACGAGGTGTCATTGCGCGTTTTCCCATTACACCTTAAAAAAATCCTGGGGAGAACACTGATCTCAGCTGTCATCTGTGCCAGAAAAATCATTGTCACATCACAACCATCTATTGCCATCACTGCCAATGGTGGCAACGTTAGCGTCGTCGATATTGGCATCTGCATCATGACCATGCATGCCATAATTATGAAAACTACTTTTCATCAATTTTACAGATGTTTATTTTTCTTACCTACGACATTGATAATTGTAGTAGCCTCTAACATGATTGGTACACCAACCTCAGACACTCGACAAGTGTAGATACCACTGTGAGATAATTGTAGATTACGCAGATGCAGTATCTCATTTTCTGTAGATACTGTGCAGGGTCTTTGAACACTGTGGAACAGAATAGCTAACTTTAATTATACACAAAAATATCAGTGACTGCTAGTAAAGCTGAGGACATACTATCAAGTTTTCTTTGACAAAAAATGGTTGTATGTCCATATATAGTCACGATAAGCCTATGTCATGATCTGACCGGTAGTACTTAAACCGTCAGTAGCATAAGCGTTATTACCTGATGGTGACATGGGACACGTCGAAACATGTCGTTCATAAGTTTCATAAAAATATAATTGTTTTTATTCTGTGAGTCAGTGGAAGTTAATACCATATCTTATCCTTTAAATGAGCTATGTAATGTTTTAATTTAGTTATTTAATTGCAATCACATAAATATATTTATAATACATTGAAGGCAAATGGGGAGCCAGCAGACATGGGTTCCATGAACAAGTAGCCCCCACAATACAAAAACAGGATATAACGCGAGAACACGCTTGTGTTTTAAAACAAGGCATTTTACCTATGTTCTCTTTCTAACCAGGTGTATAAATGACTAGCTGGTTTGATGCTGTGTATGGAAGCATGACTAGGTATGCTCCAAAAGAGCAGAGAATGGTTGCACTTTGTGCTGGTTTGACGTCACATTGTATGTTGTCCAATGACCAAGAGTAATGCTCATGGGCTGTTGCTGATCAACATTTAAGCTTGTCTCACACTTTGCAATTTTTTGCTTACAAGCTGCGCTACAACATGCTCAGTCTAAAATTGTCTGGTATGCAGAAGTCAGGGCAAGGTATGAAAGATATTATGTATATGACATGACATTGATAGTAATATGAAAGCTACGTTATTGAAGACCTTTTAACATATTTCAAAAAATTGTAGTCGTAAGTGTCGTACTGTAAGCAAAATCATTGCAAAAAAAAGTTTATTTTATAATGGCGCAATATAATTTTGAATATTTATTATTTTTGTATCAAGTAATATTGTAGTAGTACCGATGCACACTAATCAAAAAATAAGCAAGTTATAATCGCTACCTGTGAATTTTAATTATGGTGCGTAAAATATATTTTTCGTCACACTCTAAAATCCTATGCGACCCCTTGTACCAGCCAATCTTAAACACGTTTGTGTTCCCCTCTACCATACAAGGTATATCTCTTGAGCCTCCAACTAGAATAGTGACATCCTCCGGTGGCTTTACACTGAACCTTATCCCTACAATTCAAGTAAAGATTAGAATATTAATCAATTTAGGTGAAAGATGTAGGCCTATGTTTACATAAAAACCAAAATACAGTATTACTGAGCCATTGAATAGTAATACAGGGACAATAAAATGAACAAATACAAAAACAGCATGAATTACATACATGCTGGATGGATCAGTCTCTTGGGAAGATGTATGGTCAATAAATAAATATTAAGATATTATTATGATAATGGTTGATAACCTCAGCTTTCATTGTAGGAGTGATGTTTTTCTTTACCTGACATGTTTTCCTTTACTCAGTACATTCCTAAATACTTGCAAAAAAAATTGCACGTGATTCAGGTGGCATGGCTCTCATGACCTCCAGATAATAAGCCTGGTGTCATAACTGAGCTTACGCTTGACTTATGAATCACTTTCAAATTTTTTTCACAAGTATTTCGGAATGTACTAAATATTCAGGTCAGGTACTGAAAACATGCATCCTCCAGTCGCCACACTCCCCCCATTGAAATTGTCTGAAGCAAACAAATCGTGCTTAAATATATAACCAGAGCCTTGCAGGCGTCAACGTTCCTATGCATGATACACGACTTTAGAA